TATATATATATCCCAGATCTGATAGTGTATGTGTATGTCTCTCTCTCTCCCTCCACATATGACACACTCTGTATGTCTCTCTCTCTCCCAGATATAACACACTCTGTATATACATCTCCCCCTCCCCAGACCTGATCGTGTACGAACGAGAGAACGAGATGCAGGTGGACATCCCCTCCCTGGGCACCTACTCCATCTCTCCGGACATCGAGTTCCCTACCACCCCCTCCGCCTCCTCCCTCTTCCGATCCTCCGCCTCGAGGCTCGCCTCCTCCGCCTCCTTCACCTCACCCCCTCCCTCCTCCTCCTCTTCCTCCGTCCCGTCACTCATCCCTCCTCCTCCCTTCGAGCCCTCCTCCTCCTCCTCCACCTCCTCCACCTCCCTCCCTCGTCCCCCCATTTCACCACACCGCAGTGCTTCAGATTTCCATTCCTCATCGTTTTCTTCATCTTCGTCGTCATCATCATCAACTGCAAACGTCTCCTTATCAATTACAGAGTCCTTGTCCCGATCCACAACCTCATATTCCTCCTCCTTTTCCTCATCGTTCACTCCCTCTTCCTGCTCCTCCTCCTCCTACTCATTCTCCTCCTCATTGATGTCATCACGCTCTACTCCTCCCTCCTCATCCTCTTCCTCCTCCCTGTCTTCCTCCTTCACATCGAGAAGACCCTCTCATGCGGGCTCCACAACCTCTACTAAATCCCCCTCGTCGTCTGCATCACAACTGTTATCATCGACATCATCATCATCGTTATTACCCTCCTCCTCACCCTCCCCCTCATCTTCTCTGTCCATCTCCATGTGTGTGAACGTCACCAGAAATCCCTCCTCCTCCTCCTCTTCCTCCTCCCTCTCCTCCTCCTGCCGAATGGACGTCATGGACTCAGGATACATCAGTGACGGTGAGTTATAAGACTTTTTTTTAAAGCTTTAGTAAGAGTTTTACGGCACTTGCAACACAAAAAGGTCATATAAGTGCCAAAGATTAGAGGCGTTACAAAAGAGTAACAAACACAAACAATGAAGGAGAGGAGATAGAGACGATAGATTTTTTATAGGAAAGAAGGAGCAAACCACACCAGAGCACCCGCCAACCACCCACAGTTACAAGATTAGATAAGAAAAGGTATTTTTATTGTCCAGACCCTGGCACATTGGTTTGGTGTTTCACCATGTACACACACACACACACACACACACACACACACACACACACACGCACGCACACACACGCACACACACGCACACACGTACACACATAATATAAATGAACAGTATTATAAACAATAATAATGTTAAGCAAGAAACATACTCAGTATCCTGACTGTAACTCAATGCTATTCTGATGCATGCTCTAAGGTCACATGAATTCTTGTAACAAGATGGTTATCCTAGCTCTCACCACATATTGTCATTTACTTAGTTTTATAAAAAATTTTACAGCGCTCGAAACTGCATAAGGCCATTTGAGCGCCAAGGGGTGGATGTCAACAGAGAAGTCCAAACGGGGAATCAGGCTTACACTGCTCACCTCTCTATATTCAACAGCACAAAAACAAAACAAAAACAAAAAACAAAAACAAAAACCAACCAACTGCTCCCCTTCTCCTCAGATTCCATGCACGGCCCGAGTTACCTCCCTCCTCCCCCCGGCTCTGAGGGCCCGCACCACCTCTACCCAGGCTGCCCGCCCGGAAGTGACGTCATGTCCAAACCCGCCGGAAACGCCATGTCCATGGGTCACATGACCTCCGCGTACGCATGCGCAGCTGGTGTGCCGGGGGAGCAGAGGAAGAAGCCCGCCAAGAAGCATCGCTCCAATGCAGGTGAGATTATCGTCCTTGTGCGTTCTTCCTTCCTTCCGCTCTCACTCACTCACTCACTCACTCACTCACTCGCTCACACAACTCTCACTCACTCACTCATTCACTAACTAACTCACTCACTCCCTCGACTCACCTATCCCGTAGACTGGATGTCCGTCATGGTGCTTTTGAAGATTTGGCCACCAGCTTCCTCCTCTCCTTCCGGTCTTCGGCATTCCCGAGCGTGTCTTTGAGTTCCAGGCCTGTCCATTCCTTGATGTCCTTCCAACTCTTCTTCTGTCTGTCTCTGCTCCTTTTTCCCTGAACGCTGCCTTGATCAAAGATTAGACTGATGCGTCCCTGGTCATGTCAATATTTATGTATAATGCATGTGAATCCTGGACCTTGAATGCAGACCTTGAAAGAAGGATCAAAGCTGTAGAGATGAGATGCTTCCCAAAAATCCTTGGTATCTCTGACAAATATCACGTCACACCACGGTGTAGTGGGGAAAATGATGAAATTTATGTGAGGCACCATGGGGAAATCAAGCGTACGTCAAAATAATGAAATCGAAGAAAATGGCATTTTTTCCACATGTTAGGGCAATATTTATGGAGTTGTTTGGTTGGTTGTTTGTTGTTTTTTGTTGTTGTTGTTTGTTTGTTTGTTTTTTTGGGGGGG